AACATGTCATTTCAAGACACTCAAATCCATAAAGTCTGTTAATTTCTCTACTGAAATTGTATATGGCTAATAAAGTGATCTTATCTTACACAAGTAAAGAAAAAAACATGAACAAAAATACAGATCGGAGAATCATGATCTTTTTGCATGAACTCCTTCAGCACGTATCAGATATAATCTCTCTGAGCATTAACAAACCAAAAGCACTGGAGCATAGACCTAATCAGCCCAGACAGCTGTGGGATGTTCCATCACTCCTCCTGTGCAGCTGCAGCTAGCTAGTGAGGGCTGGTCACATTTGTCTGCAGCTGATGGCCTTGGCATGTTCGCACAAATGTTCTAGTAGGCTCAGTTCAGGAGACAAGGCTGCCAAATCAAGACCTCAACATTGCTTTTTGTAAGGTTGTGCCTCAGTAATCCTAGCACTGTGAGGCCTCGCACTGTCCTACTAGAAAACATCTAGACTGGCTTACAGGAATGGATAAAACATTCCAACAAGGTGTTCCACCAAGTAACACTGAGCAAGTCGGTTGCCCTCAAATCTGCACCAAAAAGGTCTTGTATAAATTCCTCCCACATTGTCACATTTCCATCCATAACTGATTTGAAGAACAGGCAAATGAGCAAAAAGCTTACTGCAGCACCTCCACATTCTCTTCCATGTGGACTGTCAAAGTTAAATCAGGACTCATCGATGAACAAAACACTCCACTGCCCTCTCAGTCAACATCTCAGATGTTCTCTGGCCCATAAAAGATGTCTATCTCACAGAGGCCAATGCCTTAACCCCAGGCTATAATCATACTGACGTGGGGTTATGTCCTCTTGAAACGTTTCAAGCGGTAGCCTCTAAGTCTATAAACGTGAAGGTGGTGGCGTAGGACAGGTGTTCTAGGATGTAGCCAGACCCTCACAAAGCTGCAATACCTTGTTTCTCTGGACTAGTCTGCTAATAACTGAAACATACCATCTCATTCTCCAAGTAACTACAAGACGGTCTTCATTACTCAAGCAGTGCATGGGCATATCTCTCCCTGCAGATTTATTCTAATTCTATATCAATTCATGCCTGTAATTTTGAGGCAGATAAAATAATTTAGGAGACTTGAACTCATAGGTTTGTTGACTGTGCAGTAGAGATCTGTGGCATAACAAAACACTATGTGTGTTAATTAAAATGAAAATGAATTCATTTGTGATGGACTGGTGTCCCCCCATCCAGGCTGCTTGCTGGGATAGGTCCCAGCTCCCCTGTGACCCTGAACTGAGTGAAGCGGTTTGAAAATGGACGGAAAAATGGCAAAAATCATGTTTATAACCAATGAACAGCTGTACAAATTAGACTGCTGCACCAGTATCATTGAGGATAAACATATAAGAGAATTAGCTTTTGATTATGGTCATGTCCATTTCAGTTAGTAACATTTCTGTGGTTCACTCCAAGCACCAAGGGTGTACTGAGGGGTTTATCACTTTTAAATTTTTTTTTTGTTGTTGTTGTTGTTTCTTCATTGCAACTGCTGAACTTCATATTCCAGAATAGTCCATTTTCAAGGTTCTACCAAGGAAATTAACCTCAAAGTCATGATACTACCTCCTTTTCTTCCCCGTAACCCAGACATCAAAACACTGTCAACTAGAATTAGTACCATGTGCACAAACTGTTTTCCCACCATACTGGGGTTCAACTGTTTTTTTAAAAGAGTGAGATGAAGCTGATTTTCTCAAATTAACAGAAATTACCTGCTGTGAACTAAAGGGCAATCTTTTTACAACAAAAAGTTCTTCAGAGAGAACTCCCTGGGAACAAACTTCTTTCTGAACAAAACTTTGTTTTTTTTTAGTGCACAATTCTTTGTTACCCCACTGTACAGATGATACACACGCCGTTTTTCAAATGTATTCACTTCATTGGAATGATGTCCCATTTTTTTAATGATGTTTGATAATGATTTTTACGTAAATATTTTTAATCATAATTTGAAAACCCAAACTAAAAATGTTATGGGTGAAAGAACTTGAATCCTAACAAAAACTGCGTAGAAAACTAAAAAACTAAAAATGCATTGATTGTATAACTACTCAGCCCTTTTACTAGGGCACACCTATATTAATGCACTTGTACAAAACCACTGTGTGCAGTAATATCGCTTGACATAATTTCAGAATATACACACCTGTCTCTGTAAGGTCCCTGAGACAGGCAGCAGATTTCAGACTAAGATTCAACTATAAAGACCAGCTTTCTATATGCATATTTGTAGAGTACACGACAGATAATATGAAAATGTGGTTAATCCATCCATCCACCCGTTTTCTAAGTTGCCTATCCAGGACAGGGTCACAGGGGAGCTAGTTTCTAGCCTGGCAAGCAACAGGCACAAGGCGAGGTACACCCTTGATGGGACGCCAGTCCATCAAAGTGCAAGCACAGACGCAGTGCCCAAATAACCTACCAGCATGTCGTTGGACTTTGCGAGGAACCACTGCACCACCATGCTGCCTGCGTTTAAGACTAATCACACGTGTAAATCACTGCACAGCACAGCACTCCAACTTCCATAAACAAGTGAAACCATAAGATACACAAACTCTGCCAAATACGGCTGACTTTCAAACTATTTTAATTTGGGTACACCACCAGCATTTTCTTTTAGGTGAAGACCATCGTACACCTAAAAGAAAGAAAACAGATGTTAAAATCACGGACAACTGTCAAAAGTAGATACTTTGCATTGGGTGGCGAAGACCAAGCTAAAATACATTTAATGAGGAACAAAGAAACACATTTAAATGGGGGCTGTGGATCTACTGAAATATATGCTTAAAAATCTGAATTTCGTGGACTACTGAGATGTGTTCTGTCTCGAGTTTTATACACGTGTTACTAAAAAATTATAATTATGTTATGCTCTAATCACAATAGCACTGTACAGAGCAAAGTCACATTTGTCATAAATAATTTCAGAAAAAAAGAGGGTGGAATTTATTTGCACCTCTACGTATTCTTTAAATTAAACTTAATAAAAACAAATCTACAGTAAGATTTTGCTCATTAAAACTGAAATGCAAGCTTCTGAAACTGTACAGGAGCCTCCAAAGCTTTCCTGTTTCCCTGGGATGGAGAAGGAAATAATACAGAGACCACTTCAACAACCATGGACCAATGATCCCTGATCTTCACAAACAGAGGGATGTCTATGAAATAATCCACCAAAAGATGAATTAACCACTCTGTTTTGTGGTATCCATTATTAAGACATTTAAGGTTACCAGTTATGGTGGCCACTACCAGGTACAGGACATATGTGCATCTTGCCACCATGGATTGTGAAATAAGTAGCTTGGAAGATGGCTGAAAAAGGACATTTCACTATGATAATGATGCATCCAAATCAAGGACTGGGTAATTGCACACAAAATATTTTTGACTGGCCATTTCAATTTCCAAACTTCACTCCAATTAAACATCTGTGAAATCAAAAACTTGTGGAAGGAAACCAAAGGGTCTATAATTATACATGGAGAAACGTCCATAAACATCCCCTCTAAATTCCCAGAACACAACAGAAGACATTGTCAGTGTAATCCCTGCCAGAGGAGAATTTACTAAACACTAACTACAAGCAAGAAAAGATTTAACCATTATGTTTTCTGGACACAAATCATATGCAAAAAAATATGAATTTGCTTTGTACAATTCCATTAAGATTACAGTATACCTTTTTCTAAATTTTTAAGCAAAAGACATTACACACTTATGTTATTTGATGCTTACTAATCCTATTTGATCAGAAATATAGATAAATGTGCAGGATACTGTAACACCAAAATCATGTCTAGATATTTTAGTACTACACTTTTTAACATTTGGGTTGATAAAGAGTACACATCAGCCATTGTGTCCTCAACGTCAGTCGTGAAACTTTCAGAAAGGTGGTAAAAACAAAGTACTAACTTGGATCCAGATATCATTGCTGGATTGTGCACAGATCATCTTGGACCTTCAAATTAATTTCGCACGCAGGGATGTCCGCCAACTAAAGAAAACATCAGTTTAGATGAAGATGAAAACGGTCCTGAACATGTGTCTCACATCATGCAATGAGGACGCAAATTTTCGTCAAGCTCACCTGAAAGTCTGGCTTCTGCTTAGATCACAGCTTTATCCCAGCTTGCCATATCATCAGCTTATACTGCAGCCTCTGCTTCTGATAGGCCACTTTCAAGGCACATCTTCACAAGAAATGGTTTCTTTTTATATGATTTTTGTAGGTAAATATTAAATGGAAAACCAAAGTAGGATGTATAACACAGTGTATGCATATGCCTCTATTCTATTTCATTGGCCAAGTGACAGGTAGCCGCGTTTTAAACGGTATGAACCACAGCTGGTTGTGAGGTTAATCAGTGTCACTGCAGCCAGGTACATATCCCTAGAGCCCCACAGCCCGTTGCAGTCTATACATACAGTATGTCTATATATATGAATTTGTGAATCACCTTGTGTTATGTTTTTATATTGAAGACAAAGTCTTCACCTCTTGTGAAGCATTTTTGGCAGATGAATCACTAACTCACTTAAGCTCTTACCCGTATAAATGTGTGCACACATATAACATACCCATACGATAAAAAAAAAGATAGTTGTCCGAAAAAGAAATAAAGTCCTGTATCTGCAATGGAAACACAAAATAGCACATCTGCAAAATTGTTGATAGAGTTTAGCCCCAGATGATCAAATCATGATGTCCTGACTGTGTGTGTCAAAGTGTGCTTAAGCAAGCATGCCAAGAAAAAGGTCTTATCAACAGGATACCACATGAGGCTAACCAGCAGCCATATTGCCCATCTTAACACTTGCCTCTCGCCTTGCTCAGGCTGGATCATCGCGATCACCAGATCAGTTTCTCCCCAGCATATTTCCTCTCCCAGCAGCCCCACCCAAGTGATTCGAAAGCACCTCCCTGGAGTGGCAGTATCTAGAACTGGGACTGTACCATCAGCCAGGGCCTGCTCCTGCTCCTGCTGCTGCTGCTGCTCCTGCTGCTGCTGCTGGAGGGTTTTACGTTTCACGTAATCGTGGTCAACCGGTGTGGCTGTGTAAGGTGGAGATGTCAGACCTGGCCCGGTGGAGGGGAGAGAGTTCCCAGGCGCCTGCGCCGTGCCCACAGAGGAGTGCGAATCCTCGTCGTTCACAGACAGAGGCTTCTCCCTGGCGACGGGGACAGGACAGGAAATTGAGCAGACTGACAACACACCACCAGGGGGGGGGGGTACGCTCTTCTACAATTACAGGGAACATGCTGTGGGATTAGAGGAAACCAAAACTACTTTTCACTTAGTCAACACGTCGGAGATCCATACCTGGTTTGGTGTCACACAAATTTCAAACCGAGGGAACATAAAGCAAGGGCAGAAGGAGAACTATGATTTTCTGGAGTTTGGACTGGATCAAACCTACGAAGTTTTACTTCTGTGGCGAAAATGGGGCAACAACTACACAGTAGGAAGACACTTTGATGGTCTGTAGGATTTTGAAACAAGCTAAAAGGATTGCTAAGAGGTCAATGACCTGTAATCATTTTCTCTCTTCTGGTGCAGTTTACATAAAATGTTTGTTTGTAAATGGACAGCCCGCTCAGCACCACCGAGTCTATTAATAGCCGTTCTGTGTACATGCATTTTTTGCTTTTTGATTCCATCAGTTTCAATGTGCTAAAAGGGTGAAGCCTCATAAAACCTTACAATTACTACAATTCAATTAGAACAAATCAGAATATGTATTTTTATGTTTGGATGCCTGTTCACAAACATGTTTTTCATTCGGTCGCTTGAGAGCTTGCTGAAACTTACAAAAGCAAGTAACGTCAGTGCCTCTTCACCATCCGAGGGTTATACCAAGTTATACCATCACATTGTTTTCTTCTAATCGCCCAAGGAAAGTGGCACAGCGCATTGGTGCAATCCACATTTTAGGGACACTATATTTCAATATTTCCTTCCCCCCGCCCCCCCCAACATTAAAATCTATACAGTATGCTTGAGAAAAACACGATTTCTACGTATGTTCTGACTGTTACATTGAAAGGATATTTACTATATCCTACATTAAACATGCTATACATACACTGGAGTAGCACCACAAGGAACAAGATGTCACCCACCTCCAAAGTGGCCTTAATCAAATTAAAGTATTTTTTTCCTGCACTGTGCATTAGTTTCAGATACATATAGAATGTGGAGATCTTTCCTACGGGAAAGACTATATTTGACTGCTATAGCTTAGCCACTTTCCCCCGGGATGCAAACAAATACTGTCTGCCATAACACAGCAAAATATGTCACAGGGTAAAAAACAACAACATGCATTTAAAGTTGTAGGTCTCCAATTTTAGGAAAAATGCAATCATACTGTGCTCTTTCATTACCGTCAGCAACACAGACAAAATAATGATTGTGTTTCACCTTGATAGCGCTTTCGTGTTGTGACAGGAACAGCCTGTATATCACAAAATGGGACAACTAAAGCCCTTTGCAGGACACCTACAGTTTATCTGGGGAAGGCAAACCCGCAAGTCTAGAAATCGCATTGCAAGGAGAGATGATATGCTGCAGTAACGCCCACTGTATACAGTGCTTCTCCGTGTGGGGGAAATAAAATCCAAAGTGTTGTTCAATTATGCACCTTCAGAAAAGTACGCTAATCGTCTATAAAAAGGAAAACGTGTTTTTTGGCTTTTACAAAAACAAACAGTTTTAGAGATGCCTACTTCTCACTGGCTTTAGGCATGCTCTTCTCTTCTCCTCTGGCGAAAGGGCCATCAGCCGCCTCCTTCAGGATATTGAAGAGCATCTCGTGGTCCAGCTCCTGCTCCCCAGCCTCCAGAAGCTTTAATATGGAGGCGCAGAGCCTGAAATACAACTGAATGGGAAAGGCCTGTATGACACATCGCTCGAAGGAGAAGCCCTCCCCTGGGTTCTGCTGCACTAAAGCGACCTCAAAGGTATCCTGCAGCCACCCCCCCTCCCCGGCCTCCCTGCAGGACCCAGAACATCAACTGCGCCTCCACTTGCCAGATACAATCCGCCTTCTTCACCGGTCTTAACGATCAGTCAAAAACAAACATATGCTTCTACATATTCCCACTCAGCCCCTTCACAAAGGCTGAATAAAAACCACTAATGTGTTCTTTTTTTTATTAATATCTAAGATATTACTGGACAGCTGGCATAATTAATCCCCAGCTCAAAGCTCAGCTTCAGTCTTATGAACTAATTTGGTAAAAAACAGTGCTTTTATTAAAGTCAATCCATCTTCATTCTGCGGATAAAACGTTTGGGTTTTTTTGGTCCAGACTTTCATTCTGTGGGTTTTTTAATTTAATATATCGGTCTCCGATGTGTTGTTCCATGGATTCTCTACAGAGCTGTTCCACAGGACCCACTTCCTTCGATAGAATTCGATAGAATTCCAGCAAATGTCTTCATCGGGCACAGGGGACAAGGAAACACTCTTTTCACCATGAATTCTGCAGGGCCCTTTCCCTACAATCCCGAGACCCTTTCCCTACACCTGACCCACCTCCAGGGCTTCCATGGCCAGTTCAGGGGGGTTATGGTAGTGGATTTTCCGGGGGTATCGGGCTGCCTCTTCATGCAAGTAATGAGCTGCCTGAAAGACAGGACAAGGGTAATTAAGACAACAGGACCCAGGATCCAGTTCTGCCTCCTTCTGACCCTTTTGATGGCAGACCAGTCAATGAGATTGTCCTAACAGCTTGAGTTTGATCCCTAATATTTTTTCTTATTTATTCTTGGCATTGCACACAATGTTTAATGAAGAAAACCTTTAAATGGTTAAAAAGCAATGAGCGGCAGGAAGATTTTAAATAACACAGTTTTACATGGAGGAAAGGCTGTCCTGCTGGGTTGAAGAGGGCAGCTGAAGAGAAGGTCTCTCTTGCTGTGTAACACGAGCGGAGCAGCAGGAGACTGAAAAGACTTGCTGTTGGGTTTTTCTGCTTTTATTTTTAAGAGCAGTCAACATCCTACATATACTGTATGCAGTTCTGTATTAGTGTGTCAAGACGAACATAGCTCTCGTTGCATATAGGCAGATTGCTATAGACACCTGATTGAATACAAAACACCTTGTTTTAATGTAAAACCACATAAAACCAGCTTGAACAACACAGCAACATGGGGCTACTCTTTACAGACTGGGCTGATTCTGACCTCGACATACGCAAATACTTAGACAGAATAAAGTGTTTTTTTTATCCACTAATATAAAGTGTTTTATTTAAAAAAAAAAACATAAAATAGCCTTAAAATAGGAAAAAAAACTTTCAGTCAATACATATATTACTGAAAGTTATCCTGTAATTAAGCTTCAATTATTGCATTTCTTGTAAATAAAAGAGCAAGTTTTTAAAGTCAATCTGAATAAACAATTAAGAAACATTATTTTACCATTACAATGAGATATTTAGCACTTCTTAATGAGAGGTTTAGTCATCTTTCTTCTGTGAATTGTCTGCAGGATTAGGACAACCCATAAACTGAAATTTCCCTCGTTACGAATGGGAGTAAGAAGGTAAAACATGCACTCCCTTCACAAAATGGCTTCTCTTATTCAACGTCCTCAGAGCTGAGAAAAGCCAGGCTTGCGTTGCACTTTGACGTCTGCGTTTTCTGGAGTGCCTCCAGAAGCAGCGTGCTGGGAGTGTGACTCTCTGCCGGCACCTGGTCAGACCCACCACGCTCCCACCTTAACACTGCAGGCTGAAGCAGCAGGAACTCGTGGGCAGAAAACATGTTGAGCACAAGGCAATATGCGTGGGCCCAAGCCACAAACACATCAGTGGCTCCATGCCTGTCTGCCTCAGAGCCTGACAACGCACAGCCGGAACAGACTAGAGAGGATGTCAGCGTGCTGACTCACAGGCTGAGCCGAGCCAGGGGTACGGCCACTCTCTCTGATACCGTCACAAGACTTGCTCTCTCCTGCCTTCCAAATTTCCCTCACAGCAATCACAAATTCAGAGACCATTTCAGAGGACATGCTAGTAAACTACAGCGAAAGGATTAATATGAACTTATTATAACGGACCCATGTGCCTTTTATTGTCGACATCATTCACAATACACTATTGCCTCAATCTCGAGAGCCAAACAAACATGCAGCTAGTGTGCGTTTTCTGCAGACTGAGAAAGCTTGACTTCTGCTCGGGGAGTTACTCTGTCATTTAGTGAGTGCCCGTTTGAAACTTTCAGACTGGCACTTAGAGAATGCAGACTTGAACATTATGATGTTGCTGAACGTAGTTTCCCAGGCAGATACATTTACACTTGCCAGAATTTGGCATTGTTTTTTTAAACCCAGATCCGGAAGGAGGTTCTCAAACCTGTTGTTTGAAATTGTTGTAAAATCAGTAAAAAATGGGAGGTATTAACAAGCCTTTATTATATTAGCTTTTATGTTCCTATGTATTGACCTTATCAGATCATATTTTTCTCACAGATTCATTATTGCTGATCAATTTAATATAGGACACCTTTAGTGCAAATGTTTGCTTAGGTCCATCAATTAATTCTGCATACATGCAAAGTATCAAGAACGCAAAACACAAATGATATACTGTATATGTTCATACAGTATATCATATATAAGCCATACACATCGCTCTCACCTTTTATTAATCTAGGTCTAATTTAAAGCAAAAATGAAAATGTGCAGAATTCCAGCAGGAACAGGAATTGAATTGTGGAACACATTTCTCTGTGAAAGCAACCCAGGAGTACAACCAGTAAAAAAATAACATTCAAATCATTTTTACTGTACACAGACATAGATAAGCATTAAAATGCTCTGGAATCTTGAGTCTTCTCCCCCTCCCAGCAATAGAATTGTACTAAATAGTACATGTCGGCTTGCAAAGAATAATCACTACCACTACAGAACCTTCCCAGCAAGTCCCTTGCTTAGAATTGCAAATGATGCAAACTGACACCTTTCACACGCTCTTGGTGACAACACTACGAAAACGAGCATTCATCAGAATATCGCCCAGACTTCAGAAGCTTTCCGAACTGGATTACTCTTCAGACTCACTCGAAACGAAGGAATTTTATCTACAGTTAGCATAGTCAAGTGCTGTCATACCTCTGGTGTGAGAAAAACAAACAAACACAGACACAAAAATACATTTAACTATACATTCAGTTCAGTGTCATTTTCAGGTCTCTACATACATCATCTGATCAAGTTGTGGCATTTTCCGTTTTCCATTCTCTATCTATTATTCCTGCACATACAGTGAATGCTGTTTCTTAAGCGTAGGCATGGATATGCCCTGCTGCTCGGCATCTCCAGGTGATGCAGCTTCTGAAAAGACACCTCAAACCTCCCTCAGAAAGAGCATGACTGGGAGGCAAATTAAAATGTCACACTTCTTTGATGCCTGATAGTTGAAAAACTACAAAGAAACTCATACAACAGATGACAACAATAGTTTGCTACTGAAGCAACTGTTTTCTTCTGGCAGAAGTAGTTTTAAAATTTAATTCGAAAATGTTATCATTTATCATTTTTAATTTTGTATTATAATTTTCATACAGGGAGGCACAGTGGTTAGCCTTGCAGTACTGGGGCCCTGATGTGCTGTCTACGTGGAGACAATGTATACCAGTGCTCCAATTATTTTCCGCGAAGTGCTCCAGTTTCCTCCCATAGTCCAAAGACATACAGGTAAGTTCCCTTACTCCTGGGAATGCTGGCCCTGGCGTGAGTGTGTGTTTCTGTGTTTATGTCTGCCCTGTAAAGGACTGACTTCCTTCTAGGCTATCCCACTGCTTGCTGGGATACTTTCCCGCATCCCTAAATTGGAAGAAGCGATAGAAAATGGATGGGTGGATGGGGGGGGGGGATTTTCATATGCTGAACAAACAAGAAACATATCAACACCAAAGAAAAGAAAACAGCATGACAGACTGCTGCTGTACTTGATTTGCCTCTCCATGGGTATGGGCCCAAAGGGCCTTTCGCCCCAGACCTGTTTGTAGAGCAGCAGGTAGTCCTGGGGATGCTGCTTGCGCTTCTCCGCGATCTTGCCCAGCATGTAGTGAATGAGCCACTCCTCCTCGTCCCCGTCCCCCTCACAGCGGGTGGCTCCTTGGAAACACTGGGAGGCCGTCTCTAGCATGGAGTCTCTGCGCTCCTCCATCTGAAACACACAGAGGACAGGTCAGAGGAACACTAAACCTGCTCTGGGACTGTATGCATCAGCACTGGGTCAGGGTTTAGATGCTCTGGAACTGTATGCATTCCAGCACTCAGCACCTTAGTCACACTAGAGCGGCTCTAGGACTGTATGTACGTCAGCTCTGAGAATCTGGTTCACGGGAACACTGTAGCTGCTCTTGGACTGTATGTGCACCCAGACCCAGCATCTGGATCAGAGGATAGTTGTTCTGGGACTGTATTCAAACCAGCTCTCAGCAAATACTGTAGGTCAGAGAAACACTACAGCTTCTGTAGCTTCACTAAATCTCTAGATTCTAAACTATATACATATATTACCATACAAATGTAATCATTTTCACAATCTGAATGATATGCTTCACACCAGCCACGTTTCTGTTTACGCTCAAAAGAGTCCATTTCTTTCAAACTGATCCTGCCTCAGGCTTTGAAAACAAACCTCAGACCACACCAAAAGAACGGCCACTGTCTCTAAATACAATATATAGTATATATCTGTTGTACACAGGGAGACTTAGATGGGCCAAAAAGAGTTAAAGTACGGGTTTTCACCAACATTATTCCCCCACACCAATTGAGTTTTATCAAGCAAAAGTACAGCATCCGTTCCAGGAGGAGTGTGTCACTGAAAACATGAGACAAAACCACGCTTTTGAGGGACTTCACCTGACCTGCCCAGGCTGCTACAAAAATCACTTAATGTTGCCTTTAGCTTATTCATCCCACAGACACACTGAGTGGGTGCCACACATTTCAAACCTTTTAATGCAGGTTAAAAGTAGCTGACACATATGGTATAAGAAGCGATCTGACAACCAGATGCAACAGTGAAAGTCTAGGCTCTTGCCTCCTAGAGACAGTAACAGGAATCACTGTACGAAGAAAAGCACCTCACAGCTGTCATCTGCAGGGCAAAGGCAGCTGCTGTAGCTCTGCCTCACCTCTCAGACACTAATCAGCATCACTTTCTGCACCTGACTGAAAAGTTTCCTTTTCAAAAAGCACTCAGACTCCTTTTAGTGTGATCGTTTGTGCTTTGGAGGGAACAGACTCTTTCAATGAACATGCTTTGCTGTTCTGACTAAAAAGTACACTGAAAAATAAACAGGGTGTTCTCTGATAAAGACAACACTAAGCCCCCAGAATAAAATGTAATGTTAACAAGAGCAAGGCTGACATCAACAAAAATACAAAAACCTTATAGGTCAGAAAAATCCCATTTGGTAAAAAAAAAAACAATTTATTTGTCTGTCAAAAGAGTCTTATTCTGGAAACCTGCTAAACAATCTCTGTTCTGTTTAATAGTTTAACACCTCATGGGTTGAACACAGAATTAGATCTTAAACCCTTTTTATAAAAAAAGTTGATTTATAATAAAACAGATTTGAATATATAATTTGAAATGATAAATTAGAAAAAGAAACTATTTCTGGCAACAGCTGTAATTCTGAAAATATATTGATATGTCTATATCATATAGTGATACATGGGTCTTAACTGCTATTGCATTTATGGCCAGATGGACCTTTTTAACCTCATGATTGTCATTTTAAAGAAAAGGTCAGCTTCCTTTTTTACATGAAATGCCAGCGATGAGGGAATTCCAGCGTGTATCAGATCGCCATCCAGCCAAAAACGTTTGCATTGATAAAGGCTTGTGTTTGCCGAAACACTGACAAGTGTTAATAAATTGTTTTACAGTAGAGGGAGTGTGCACCCGATTGATGTTTGCCATTGGTACTGATTTCTCTACTGGGCAGCTCATCTTGAATCTCTAGGTGTGTGTGTGTTAAGGATGTAACGTGGTCTGTGGCTAAGGATCTGCGTCTGTGACTGGAAGGTTGCCGGGTCAAATCCCGCGGCCGGCAGAGGAATCCTACTCTGTTGGGCCCCTGAGCAAGGCCCTTAACCCCAACTGCTCCAGGGGCGCCGTATGAATGGCTGACCCTGTGCTCGGAGCCCTAGCTTCTCTCCCTGTCTGTGTGTCTGTGTCTCATGGAGAGCAAGCTGGGGTATGCGAACACACAAATTCCTAATGCAGGAAATTGTATAGGGCCAATAAAGTGATCTGATCTTATCTCAATTTTCTCCTTCTCCACACGGCGGGCCTCACCTGCTTGACCACCTCCGGCGGCAACTCCGCCCTCCACTGCTTGAGCTGGCGCGAAGCGAAGGAGTGCAGGGCGTAGGACATGGTGCCGTACTCGATCCACAGGGACAGGTTGGAGCAGTCGATCTCCAGGGCGCGCTTGAAGCAGTTGAGCACCGACATCGAGTGCTTCCAGATGGGGCCATCGCTCTTCAGCTCGTTGGAGTTCAGCTTGTCCTGTATCCGGCTGGCCCTGGCCAGAGCCATGCCAGCCCAGGAGTCAAACCTGCCAGGGGGACAAGCACACCAGCCCCTGACGTCGGGCCCCATCAAGAGCCTCCTGCCCAACGGCGCCAAAAACCCACGGGCCAACAGGAAATATACTGCCTGCCGTCTATAAAACAAGCTAAAGCAGGACTCACGATTCATCTTTAGAACCGTCTAATGTTTCTTCATGTTTATTCTAACTGATAAACATTACTCTCACGTTTTCTCCAGGACTTGAGAGCTTACTGCAAGCTTTTAATTATTTCAAAAAAGGCTAGCAAGCCAATTTAAACAGGACAATGTGGATATCTACCAGTTTGTACATTATGTTGAAGTCACTTACTTAATTCTAACCATATACAGCAAGAGAAGAAAATAATAAATAATCAAATTGCAGTCATAACACAGACTGAGTGCATTCAGTATATTAAGCGCATTATATTTCCTTAATTATTTTCCAAGCAGTTTACTTGTATTCAAAATATAAATAAGCACAGACAGACCGATTCGTACTTTATTTTCTAGCGGTAGAAACACATTCAGGAAAGTTCAGGAAATAAAATATGAAATAACCTTTTAGGTTCATCATTTGACACAATAATGACATGGCTGAAATTGTCGTGCTAATCAAAAGATACAAACAGAAACTCCCATTTATGTCTGAAAAACGTTTCAAAGTGGGAAATCTGCAAAACAAATATCACGTGTCACATAGTGGGCAAGCGTGGTGGATGGCATACTGCCTCCAGAGCTGACTGACCTGTCAGGATGCACGCAGATATCATGCATGTAGAATTTAATGGCCTTGGACTGCTCTTTGTTTTTGAAGTGATAATCGGCAAGAAGGTAATACAGCTCATTCACCACAGGAGGGACTGGACCTGCCCCATCAGGAAGACAAGGCACCTAGAGGAGAAGGCAGAGGTGGGGTCGGGGGGGGTGTTAATTGAGCGTTACTTTGATGGGCTCTGGACCAACCCTGCTCTGTTCCTTGAGGGCAGAGGAGTACTGAGATTTGAATCCCTACTGATTCCTAAATTGCTTATTTTACCAAATCACCTTTCTAACAGATCTCATGTAACTGTCCTGTATATAACTGGCTATTTAACAGTGACTGGACTGGGGTTCTCCAGTTAGAGATCCTTGATATTAACAGTCATGACTATCAAAATATGCATCATATTTCTTCTGGTTAACTGAAATGGGTCACTGATTACTCAATCTGCTCCATTTTCTTACCATCCTGACTTATGGACAAACAGACACTCCCTGTCATGATGCAGCCACAGCTTTGTTTCTGTTCAACAACATTATGAGATGAATGAGATCTTTTAGCTTGCATCAATTTATTGTCTCTCGGAGAGCCTTTTCGTGGCACTACACCGAATGTGCCAGCACTGTACACAGAGGCAACATGCCAGAAAAACAAAGGGAAACTACCTTTAGGAGAAGAGGAGATACACTTTAAAAAGGGAAAGCAAAAAGAGAAAATAAAAGAGGGAGGATGCAGTTAAAATACTACCTTTAAGCATTAAAAAAAACAGTATTGCTGAGATACCTCTTTTTAAGACTAAACACATTAATGACTCAAATTTCTCCATGGCCGACAGCTATATAAAATGCAGCTGCCAGGAGAATTGGATGGAGAAAAACGGTGGAAAATGGAAAGCGAGAGAGTGCAAGAAAAAAGAAAACTGCTACAGTATGTTATGCTCATAGTTTGCTCGGCATGTTATCTTTGGAACGGCCCCCGCATAAACAAGCGCATATAAACAGCTGCTTGCCACAATCCGTTTCCAGCAGCGACTGGGAGTAAAAAAATCAACACAAGCGCTTCCAACTTGAATGTGCTTCCCCCCCTCTGCTGCTCGGGATTTAGTAATCGGAGACCCCGTCCTGACATCGAGGGGGTCCGGCAGCAGCAACGATTTCCTCTATTTGCTCAGCGCACACCGAGACCACGGCCCCACGGTGCGAACACTTACTCAGACATGCCAGGCACAGTCCTCCCATTATTACTGACTGGAGGGCGGCTGCCAGCTCAAACAGCACAGCTTGTTATGTTTTTACTAACATTTTTTTTTTCCATCAATATTTATAAAGACAGATATACAAACAGGGCGAACCGGTGTAAAATCCAGGAGAGCCTGACAGCCACATATGCCCACAGTGAGAAGAAGAAATAAAAATATACAGAAGACAGCCGGGACAAACAGATGCATGTAATATTATTACACAACTTACGGTGCATAAGAAATGTACAGTGTGACAGATATTGGATGAGGACAGATATCATGCTATGATTCATTCACAAGACAGTAAAGCCTTGATTATTCAAGAAATTTACAGTCATATCTGCTAATAAACATTTTACTGCAGTCTTTGGGTGTGCAGTTTATTGCTAAAGAGGACTATAATGAAATGCAGTCTAGCTGCACAGGGAGCCTCAACTTTTTGCTTATGCTTACAGCGGCATTTTGATTTTTTGTTGCAGTTTTGTTTTTATCCCCCATAAATTTATGACCTCACCAGTAAGTACTACCTCACCAAGGGAGGCTCTGAGGAGTGATTTGGTACCTTCAAAATCCCTTCTAAGAAACTATAATTCTTACAGGCAGATAATTGGAAAATGCTCTGTGGGAAACATACAAAAAACGGGATATTTCCAGAATGTCATCATCAGACAGATTGCCAATGGACTTCAGACAAATCTTAATTTTCCAACATTAAAATGTACACTTAAGTTTACTGTATATTACAATTATAATCCTATAAATATACACAAATGGACTTTTATAAATGTATAACCTTCAGATATTTTTTTTACCGTTTATTTTAACGTTTAAACTGCTTTTCACTCACATGTACCGAGACTTAAACTGAACAAAAAAATTATCGGGGGTTCATCAAGCTACAAAAACAAATCGGTCACCAACTCCAAAAATTATATTATTTCTTAAAACCTTGCCATTAAACTGGACTGAGTGCTGGCAGTGGCAGTAAAATGTTCTGACACACTTGTTTTGCACCAGTAAGGACACACCCGTGTGTCCTGGGGCACATACCTTGTGAGACGCCCCCTCAATGTAGGCCGAAACCTCCTCCACAGTCAGAGTGGGCTTGTCACTGCGAGGGACGATGCAGGAGATCCGCTTCAGGAGGTTGGCCAGATCGGCCGACACGGTGCTGGTCTTGTAGCTGTCGAACTCGGGCAAAGTCTTGGGCTTGAAGTATTCGAACATGAAGAGAGCGTCGGTCCACAGCAGCTCCACCTGCAGCACAGCAACACGGCAACAGAGTAAACAGCCAAACCGCCAAACCGCCCCCCCAGATGCCAGGTTCTCTTTCCTTAAAGTCGCCGGGGAAGCAAAGACAAGTCCCACAGCACAGGACTCTCGCCCAGTTTCAGAAACTACAGCAAAGTATTTTCATACCATATAACACCAAGTCTGTCAACCTGTATTTATTCAAACAAATCCAGAATCTTGACGGTGGTTTAAAGGAAAACCGCCGTCCCAATTTCTCAGAGCGGTTGTTAAGTCTCGGCAACGAATTAAGTTCACTGATGTTATAAGAAAAAGAGACAAATTTCAAATTAAGCACAAACTCGTCAACTGTGTGTGAAAGTACTGGAAGTCGCCATGTTGTCGCAAACTTGCATTCAAGTTCCCACAAATTGGGATGCGTTGCGGCCCTTCCTGCTCACTAGTCTCCAAAATGACTCATGTAATTTAGTCAAGCAAATACCACAGCAGCAGGTAACAACACAATTAAAATAGCTAAAAGCACACTGCAAAATAAAACTAACTTCAATAAAAATGAAGATGGGAAGAGACAAATTATGTAGCATAATTTACTTTCAAAAAATACTTAAGAGGATGCGGTACATCTACCTTCTTATTAAAGCCAAATTAAGACTGGTTAAATATCTCTCTATGTATGCACCTCATGACTTCTAATGCTCGGTGGAAAAACAAGCTGAATGAGCAGCCCAGATTGCCTAGAGCCTTGAGGTGAGATATACAAAATACACCCAGGTGCTTCACTTTCTCATCTCCTGACAAAGAACGCCTCTCAAAACAAGCTGGACTACAGACCAGTGGACATTGTAAAACTGTCCCCTTCTGCCCAACAGCACTGTGAAGATATTTGTGCAGATGGCCTTTGTCAATTTCTTCAGTTCTGTGAACCATTTGCATGGGAATACTTTACATACCGCAGAAAGCAGTCAATATGTTCTTCAAGTGAACGGCAGTCTACATGCAGAGACGTTCCTTAGATGCTCAGATCAGTCAATATTTCCTCAAATCTTTCATTCTCTTTGCTTGTGAATTCACTTTCAATCCTTATGGGAGATTTCATATTTTCACTGCTAATCATATCCCTAGTGGTTTTAACAATCATATGCTGGAGTAGAGGGAAAAAAGAAAACTTCATCAGATTAAATCACATGCAGCAGACAAAATAGAATTCAAGTAAACAAATACTTCAACATACTGTAGCTGCTTTCAAGATTCTGAGTAATTCCGAAATCCTGAAAAAATAGGTTTTTGACAGTAGATACGATTGTCCTTACAACAAATTCTGATTAAAACTTCAATAAGGAAATTCACAATTTGCATATGTAACTCTGACTTGTGAAAATGTGTTCCCTGGCCATTGATCAACAAAATGTAATTTGAGGTAAGCTCCTATTTCTCCTGAAACAATCAAGAGGCTATATGAATCCGTTTCTGAAAATTTAATAATAAGAATAAAATATCTACATGAGCAACGGCCAGTTGGGTAAGCAGGTAATGCAAAACATATATCAAGCTACCAAGCATTCAATAACTGAAGACAGGGCAATTTATTAATCCAGAAATTAATCCCCCCCTTAAAATGAACAGGATTGTGTTGCTAATGCCAGAATCTGCTGCCAAATCATGTACAATAACAACCGTGATAGAACTGTAAATATACCAGACTCCAGGACTCTGACTCACACAAGCAAAATCTTATCCCTGCTAGATTTTATTATTTCCCTGCTTCTACCAGCTTTTCAGGAGAGAGTTTATGTAAAGAGCTGGCAGCTCCTCCTTCAAACACACACAAGGACACCCCCCCACCTCAGGGCACTAAGAGAAGGTTGTATAGGTTTTGTATACTCGTATGCAAATGAGCTAGCATTCAAAGTGAAATGTTGGGGAAAACCTTTTCAGGCCACACAAAAATGTGATCTTAAATATAAATTAAATAAACCAGTATGTGGCTGCAGCACAGGTCTATACATTTAAAACTGATGTAGTCATCCTCCCAGAATATTTGAAAATGGCAAGACTCAAAGTTTGTGAAACCTGCTCTCCACATACTAGTATTAACTTCTGTTACTAGTAACAAAACAAAAGTGAAAGGAGAGTCAATGCACCTTCAAAGTTGTCCTTTAAAGACTGTCAGTCCAGTCAACACTGTGACATGACAGGTTGCCTTTCAAGAGCCTAGTCGCCATAGATGAAGTCAAACAATTTCAAACAAACGCAAATTCATATATTATTCAACACTGATAAAAACAAAAAGGTTTGCCCTCGAGCTTGAATTAAAACAGACATTAAAAGGTCAGTACCCCAATCCATTTTCTTTTGGCTGTCCATGTAAACTAGTTATAAGTATATAATCAGTAATACGCTTTGTCTGAAGTGTGATATCAGCACAAATATGGCTGTAACTTTGACAACTAATGTCTCTAAAGGAATAATAAAAAATTCAGTGCCTGTTTTTAACTAGCAGACCATGACTTGGCGGGCTGGTATTAATTTAACAGTAGGTCATCTCTTGTTTCCTCATAGATTTATAACTGGGCCTCTTTAAAACAGACCAGTCATGCTTGACGGTCTGCCTGATGTAAAATGCACAGTTCACACAGATGCACATCCAGGGCTGCCTGCCCCCTAATGGACTGCTATCTCACTACAACCACAAGCCCGAACACAGTCAAACAAAAGGCTATGACTTACTTTTAACATTGTAAAGGGGTATTTAAAAGCTAAAAAAAGTAAATTTCCTAATTTGGTGCCTTTGGGTCATTTTTTTGTTATACCAGTACATTTTTTTAATTAAATAATTTAAAATAACATGAATATGACAAATAGTTTGTTCATGACACGTTTATATCTGAAAATCTGATCAAATCAGAAAATCTGGTAAACTAGTAAATCAACCACATGATTTCTATACTTTTGTTTCCCTGTATAAATATCTTCAAAGCAAAACTGCAGTCCCAATTTCTCAGACGGGTTACATATTCTTGTTAACAAAATTAATTCATGGACAGTTTTGCATAATTGGATAAATTCTTAATTAAGCACAAAATCATGAACTTTGTGAAAGTACTGTATGCGCATCATGTTGTCATAAATTGCTGGCTGCGCCACAGGTGAGAGCAAAGGTTCACGAGAACTGTGACATGAAGTGGCCCTTCCTGCTCGCTAGTCACTGTAATGACTAATGCAATGCGATGTACAAGCGAATAAGAACTGGTTATACACATTCCATGTACTAATAAATAAGCATAAATCTGCCATTTATTAGAAGAATAGTTCATGAGAAATGCGTTATTACAAATTGCTACATGTTGTTGAATCTATTTAAGCAACAGGCCTATGTTTTCTCATTACCCACCTCCTGACGAGTTTAAGACCTGTGCTCTTACTGTCAGGATGTCAGACTGCATTGAACAGAGATGTGCCCGAGAGCCAGCCGTCAAACTCAAAGCAACATGCTCCTCAAAACCTTGAGGTTATCCTACCCCACTACTTATTCTTTAAACCCTTAAGTTCAAACACATTTGCACACACTGCTCAGACAGTCTGAAGACTGCATTCACCCCCATCCAACAAGGCCTGACTGGAAGCCGCAGCTCAACAACTGGGGGGTCAGAACCGCATTTGAGCAGACGTCTGCAAAGCCTGTGAAGCTGCATCTTTCTTAACACTGGTCAGGTTTGGAAAAATGCAAAAAGAAAAAGGTTACATGCAGATTAATATAGTTGTGCATAATATTGATGCTTTAGAACCGCACCACTGTGCCAGGACTGTGCCAGAAGGTTGGTGCTCAGGCACCCTGTGCCCACCCCACCTCTGTGACTCACCTGCTGGGCAGAGTGCTCCTCCAGGTACCGAGCCTTGCTCTTCTTGCTGGGGTAGGTGTAAAGGCAGTAGAAGCACTGTTCAAGGGCCGTCTCCAACTCCTCTTTGTAAGGATGGGCGTCCTCAGAGCTGGGGGCTGTTAGCTCCTTCTGTAACACTAGAACCTGCCACACACATACACAGTCTAAAAACCAGCGAACCAGCAGAGGCTCAGGACTTCAGTCACAAACCCGAACAGAAGACCAAAAGTCGGAAGGTCCATAGACGCTCATGTTCTTCACGTCTCGACTGGTGGCTAACCAAACATTAGCCACCAACATTAGGAGGATTAGCTACTTTTGTATTCTGGCAATTCTGTAAAAAAAGCCCCTTACATAGAACTTCAGAAGAGCACCGTCTGAGTTGCAGCACCAAGACCTTCGGCCAAGATACTCATGGGCAGTGTTGAGCAGCATCAGGGAAGATGGCAACATGGGGGTGTCGGGGTCATCTGAAGAGAAACGCAGGGACTGGTGAAGGCTTCATTCTGTCTGAAAGCTGCTCTGCCACCATCTATATAAAATAGGCTGGCAAATTGCTCCAAAAACCCCAACAACTGTTAAGGTACAATAGGTTATAACGAGACAGAAACTAATCATTTCCTTTCTGGCTTGAATCAGGTTCCCATTCAATGAAGCTCTTTCATTCTTCATGTCACCACGTTCCCCAAAGATGAATGCATTCAATTCAAAGAATCACGGGTACATGTTGCCATCCTAATTTAGATTTCGCAGAGTACAATGCCCAGTGTTAAGGGGAGTGAATTCTGTAAGAACAGTAACAAAACGCAGATTCTATGAATGTGCATTGTAAAACTGGAAGAAAAAAAAACAGCGCTTCTCCCATTCAAAAACCAAATGGAGAAAAACCTAAAATAGATATATTTTAACTGAATCTGAAAAATTAAACTAAATGATGGAGGCGAATCCATTTCAATCTAGCAGAAAGGGCCCACCAGTCGTGGGGTGCCAAAACGGGGAAGACCCAGGGCTCCATGCTGACAGGGACTCACCCTCCTCCTCCTCAGCCTGCAGATGCTGTTTGCGCAGGCAGTCAAAGGTGACCTCCTCGTGTTTGATGATGCGGTGCAGTATGATCCAGGGCAGCACCGATGACATGTAGGGTTCCTTGAGGTCTTCAGAGACTGCCATGCTGCAGTCTATCAGCTAGAGCAGGAAAGGAAAAGAACTGAGGGCTTAACTGGCTGAATAATGCTTGCATTGTCTTGTTAAAACGCTGTACTGACCTTACATTAAAACTGAAAAAATGACACCACAAAGCCAATCTCAGATAGTGGAAACAGTTCAGTTGTTAGATCTTTCAAAACTGTTCCAGTAACTGCTACAACCCAAATGGGTTTGGTCACCTCTCACATGTCGGCCACTAAACCTCCACATTTTATATGTTATTCCAAAATTTTTTTAAAGAACTGGAAGAGCAAGATTTCCCTCTACCACTACGACCCTCTCGGGATAACCGCGCTGCACCTGGATGAGGTTGCTGCTGAGCCGGGCCATGCTGGCGGAGCGAGCGGCGGTCTGCAGGATGTCAGGGGCCCGGGACAGGCACAGGTCAATCCCCCCCAGCAGCTGCGTCACTGTGGTGGCCCACTCCTCTTTGGCCGAGGGGATGGAGACATTGCTCAGCTGCTGGAAGGCCTCATTGAGCGCCACCTCGGAGCACTCCAGACACTGCCGGAAATCCTGCTGCTGCAGCAGGGAGTTCTGCACACAGCGCGAGCAGGAGGGGAAGAGAGGGAAAGAAAAAGGGAAATCACTCCATTGGCATGATGGAGGGATTCCTTCTGCAGTTCAGCACCATACCGGGCATCCATCCATGCATTTTCTAACCACTTTTTCCTATTTAGGGACACAGAGGAGCCAGAGCCTGTCCCAGCAAGCAATAAGCACGAGGCTGGACAGGATGCCAGTCCATCGCAGGGCATACACAGAGGCAAACACCCACACACTCCTACCAGGGCAAATTTTCCCCAAAGCCAATTATGTACCATTTTAGATTGCGGGAGAAAACCAGAGCACCTGGAGGAAACCCAGATGATCATGGGAAGAAGAAACTCCACACAGATAGCGCCACAGGTCTGGAATTGTACCACAGGCCTCAGCTCTGCGAAGCATCAGTGCTGCCCCAAAGTAACAACTGATCCAAAATAACAACAGTCATTTTTCAGATGCTAAACCAACACAGATAAGATACATATATAACAATGCCAAGCACAAGGCCTAGTGACCACACATACTGACCCAGTTTGACATCTGACACAATGAAAATCTAAAAGAATTGCCCCAGGACCCCGAGTAGGAGTACCTGGAGCAGCAGCAGCTGTGCGGGTCGTTCAGGGACGGAGCCGACGAACTCCAGGGATTTGACCCTCCCTGAAACCCCATTGCTGAGGGTGGGCCGCAGTAGCCGAACGACTGCCTCGTAGTCCCCTGCCTCAAACAGCCGCTGGATCTCCTCCAGGGACTGGCAGCGCTCCAGAGACTTCAGCTTCTTGTCAATCTTCCGGGGACGGCACAGAAAGAAATTCGACACATCGGTTCTCTGCCGCACACAGCACGAAAGCGGCCGCTTCGAACTTGTCATCTGCTTTCCCTGCACGGTGCTGAACATTCCCTGGTGTCAGCAGCACTACTCTACCACTCCAGCATGAGCCAGTCTGTTTCCACAGCAACTCGGCCTACATTATGTTTCAGAAGAAGTTCCTGGAGAAAACAGTTTTTTATGGCTTTCAAGCAAATCCCCCCCCAAAAAAAAACAAAGCAAAGATTGACTGTACGAAATAAAAATTCTGTCCATCTTATTGGGCTGCGTATAGACTTTTGCAATAATATTAAAACAGTATATAAGAAACGCTGGATCAGTTTATGATCGATATGCATACATATGCAAGTACAGTACTTCCCCAAATCATAATTAATACTGACCACCTTGTAAATTGAGCCTCTGAAGTGTACAGGCTGTATTAAGTGCTTCCACATTACGCTGGTTCATAGAGAACAGCACTCTTTGATTGCAGATAAGTGACATGCGAGCTATTGCTGTGAGCCTATCCTGCTTTGCAGTAAACACTTCAGCATCTTCCTACCACTTTGAAAGTGAAAACATGTTGTTCTGAGGACCAGGAGACAAGACTGTCATTATTCTGACTGATGAGCTGCAGTCTGGTCACGGCTCTCAGAGAGGATGCAAACAGGCCTTAAATGAGACTTCTATTTAGCATTACAACTCAAAACCTATATAACTGGACACTCTAACATGACGACTGTCTCAGCAGTCTGACAGGATGATTGCTGTCACCACCAGATGCCTGACCTCCTCCACAGAGATGGTGGAATCAACTCTCAGGTTGGGCAGGTGGACTGTGTACTTCTCCCCTTCTTCACTCCCAGACTGTACAGCTGCTTGACTCTGAAGCATCCCAGTGCAAATGTCATAACTCTCCAAAGCCTGCTCCATATCTCCCTGCAATCAGATGCAAACATTTTCAGGTGGACCATGGTCGAGATGTTTCTTGTCATGATTATGGCCCAAGCAAACTCGCTGTCTGTGAAATCTCGTCTCCATTGTGAAATCTGCCCTTTTGTTTCCGAGAGCAGATTTCTCTTGCCTGGACATGGAAATTGTGTGGCCTAGGTTTCTTTAAGAACAGTAGGATGCGCATTAGCGCCAAATGGTCTGAAGAGAAATGCCAACTCTTGCAATTCTGCAGCAATGTTGTTCTCAAATTTGCTACTAATTACCACGCATCACATGAAGAATTTATACTGAGGAACCAGACATCAGTTTCAGTAAGTCTAGGTTTTCTTCCTTGACTTCTTATATGGTCATAAACATTAAACAAACATTAAAACATTAAGTTGGGAGTAGCCTTCATTAGCTGGAAATATGATCTATATACTCTTTTTTGTGTAAATCTGTCAGTGTGTACAGTATAACACTGTATTAGGTAACATTTCATTTCTACAAATATACTATTATTGTGGCAATAATGATGTCCGGTAGCATACATTTTTATGCCAATGTTTTTAAACACAAGAGTGAAACTGGAAAAGAAACTTTTCTATTTGCTCACCTGCAGAGCCAGGAAGCGAGCCTTCAGCCAATACACTCGTACCAGGAACGCAAGCCAGCCATCCTCAAACAGATCCTTCTGTGAGGCGGCAAACGCCAGCTGCAGCAGGTCCCCCTGGAAATACTGGCCTGGAAAATCAGTGCTGGACTGATCTGCCCCAGGACCTGACTGGCACTTCCTCGGAGAGACTGCAACAACAGGCAATGCAAATGGATCTGTGGTGAATTCTAGTGTCTGCTGGACACTACTGAGACAGATCTAATCTGGGTGTGGAAGATCAGGCTCTACAGAAAAACTAAAAAAAGAAATACAGGGCCACTGAGCAGAATCTTCATGACAAAATGGTTACAGCCACAGGTAATAAAAATCCATTGCTCTTTATTGCAAAGCCAAAAACCTACTCCTGTTACCAAGAACCTGCAGACAAGTATCATCACACAAACCACATGCCGGTCGCATTAATCCTACTTGAGGATAAAGAACAGTTTGAGAGCAGGGACGTTTCAGTGCCAACTGAAGTGATCATATTCCTGCTCATGGCTCTCACCCGTGCTGTTGCCCTTGCCCTTGGTCAGCGACCACTGCTCCAGCTGCAGCTCCATGCAGGAGAGGCTCATCACCATCATTTCCTACACAGGGGAGAGGGAAGCACCCAAATACAGAGAGATATTAACACAGACAGCTCTTCCAGGCCCATGTGAGCTTCATCTTGTCATTCATTTCCCAGACTTGAGAAATATATATATATACACTGTATGCTTTCTTGATCTTTGCACATATTTATCTAATGATTGCTATCAAACTAGTCAATGAAAATTGTTCCTGTGCCTTTTTTATCATAAATATACAAGCTTTTTATTTCATGTGTCATAAATATACTGTGTGAAATTCATTAAAGCACATGAAACATGAATAACACCCCCAGTAAGCAAATGATAAATCCTTGTAGGTCACCATTGATATTACCCAAATTTTAAATTAATGCAATATTTATTTTAAACCTGCTCAATATTTATTTTTACCTTGTTTAATTATTTGTGCATTGCGCTGTTATTGTAAGGAAAGCATGATTTTACTTGACAAAATTCTCCTTCAACAGATTTTGTCAGTTAAATCCAAAGTCTGCTAAAGCAAAGTCCATTAAGCCAATGGATTTACTGCATTAGACTTAAAAATGTTAGCAAAATACGTCATGCAAAGTTACTGCCAGATGTCACAAAGAGCCGAGGATTCACAAGTGCTGTCTGAACAGATTAATCTTAAACAGGAAAATCAATGAATTCCCACACCAGGATTTCTCCTTCTGTACAACATGATTAGGGTGAAATGCTCATGACCTGGTTAAGGTTCCTTCCAATCTTCACAAAATATGAACTATCCCTCTGATAGTCTCTGAACTCTCAATCTCACATACTCTTCCTGTCTACAATATTGATCTTATTGTTTACCTGACCATATAACTTTTGGATGCCCCCCCCAGCAAGACATACAATATCATAGACATACAATACAAGGTGTATGATATCCAGGTGGATGCTGCACATTGGTGGTGGTGGAGGGGATCCCTATTACCTGTAAAGCGCTTTGAGTGGAGTGTCCAGAAAAGTGCTATATAAGTGTAAGCAATTATTATTATTATTATTACTACAACATCTGGGGCAAACAAGACAGACAGGAACAAAAAAATCAGAAAGATTGAAAGCTTTATCCAAAAGGAGTGAAATCTTGAATCTAAAAGGTATCCATTTTTGAATCATCGTTTCCCGTCCTCAACACCTGCGACCAGGGTGGTACCTTGATGTGCTGGTGGCTGCAGTCTCGGAGCAGAGGGCTGGGCAGGTCGCCGCTGTGCTTCCTCCAGCTCTGGTAGCTCTCCAGCACCACGGCGGCCAGCGTGGGCGGCCACTCCTCCAGGAACTTCTGCCCGACGGCCTTCAGGTAGCGCATGAGCAGCTCCAGGATCCCGCCGTTGGCCATGTTGCTCAGCAGGAAGGCGTGCACCTCCTGCCTCTCTGGACGAGAGTGACGGCAAACTCAAATCACTTCCCAGGCCCGGGGTGAGGCTGATTTTGTTCTTCCAGAAGCGGCATACACTACACGTTGCCTTTTCTGGTTGGGTCCTGGAATTGGCTTTGCAAATTCTTGATTTAAAAAAACTTTGGAATACAGAACTGCTTCTACACAAAGGTTTATGGGTTGATGCCTCTGAAATAAACGTCTGAGCAAGAGGTAGAAACAGATACACCACTAACACCCTGCCGTGTTCCCGCTGCTCGCCCAGGTATTCAATACAGCCTGAATATTGACATTCAGGCTCCGGCCCCCTGGTGACCCTGAATGAAACGAAAGTAAGAAAGTGGACGGATGGACATCCCTAACAATAGCTTCCCTGCAAATGAATGGATTGTTACCTGATTCCCTAAATGTTGTGGTGTCAAACGACATAGAATGGGAACCAGTGAGCAGCTGACTGTCTTGCTTGACCTCCGATTGGATCTCATAGTTACTCAAGCTCTCTTCATCATCCTCAGGGTCCAGCTTCTTTAATCTGCATCAATCCAGGCAGAAACAAAACCGTCACGTCACTGCGCGAACCCTCCCAGTTCACAGATGCCAGGGCAGGAAACAAATTAAATGTGACTATTTTCTTAAAGCATAATTCTAGAATTAGCATTGCTGTCAAATAATAACAGACCCTGGGTGTCATATTCATAAAGGACTGTCTACCATGCTTCTTTTTGTTCAGAAATGATAAGGAAGCCCCAGATGATAAAAATAATTTAAGAGATGTTAGCCCAGAAGGACTGAGGAGACATTTCGTGACTTCTTTTCGTTGTCCTTTAGTAAGGAAAAAAAAACAGGCAAAAACTTATCACGATGGGATTTTTGTTTTTCCAAAAGAAAGCCCAGGATTTCTAGATTCTCTCATTTTTTTTTCCCCTAAAATCTATTTTCGCCCCTGCATACCTGGAGGGCAGGAACTTGAACAGCAGCTCCTGAAAGTCAATCTTCTCCTCTTTCTTGCACTTTGTGTTTCTGACACGAGCTGAGCGCCGCTTGGCAGTCTCGCCGCTCTCCTCCGTCACGCGCTTCCGCTTGGCTTTCTTCGCCTTGTCAGAGAGGCAGGCGTCTGCCGCTGCGGGAACAGGAGAGCGAGAGCCCTGTCAGCTCGTCACTCCCGACACAGGCCCGTTTCACGTCTCCCGCTCCGACAAAGAACCCGCCGCAGCCGTCTGACACCAGTCAACAGACTCTGCAGCATTTATATTCCCCTCTGTGTACATAACAACACAAAATAAACACCCATCCCCCCCCCACAGCCCGCTGCTCCAGAATCTACCCTACTTTTTGAGAAAGTTTTATGTTTAAGTTTTACTCAATGGAGATAGCTTATCCTACAACACAAAGCAAAAAAGCACAATTGTATAAAGCAGAATTAATTACATGCATTACACATGAAATAAGAAACAGCTACTTTAATTTACCGTCTGTGTTTTATATTTTAGTTCAGAAACTGCATCGCTGGGAGGCGTGGTGGCACAGAGTTTATCATTCTCAGCACTGGGGGGCCTTGGTTCAATTCTGGAACTGGGAAGCTGGCTGTGCGGAGTTTAAATGTTCTCTCCAAGTTCGTATGGGCTTTCTGAGTGCTCTAGGTATCACCCACAGAAGAACTGGGCCTAATGTGAGTGTGTGTGCGGCCGTGTGCAGGTGACCCCTGCGATGGACTAGTGTCCCTTCCAGGGTGTATCCTGCCTTTTGCCCGTTGCTTGCTGGGATGGGCTCTAGCGCCCCTGTGACCCTGAGCTGTAGGAAGCAGTTAGAAAATTGATGTATGGGAACTGCAGCACCTCTTATTGGCAACTACCTCCTGCTCTGAGCGGTGCACCAGATCGCGATATGCTTCCTTGAACCAGAATTTCCGAACCAAAGCCTCAGTACGGTTAGAGGGGATTCTGTGTTGTAGGAAGTGGCTGCCGTTTAAGACAAATAAATCAACTGTAGCCGTTTCTGAAACTGCATACTGGTTTTCTAACCCCCAGAAACATCCCTACCCCCCCCGTAATGAAGAGGCGTGCCCGCCGTTACCGACCTAGGGAAGTGGTGACCTCCACCACGTTCTGGTTCTGCGCGATCTGGGCCAGGGTCGTGGGCTGCGAGAGCGGGGCGAGCTCCGCAGGGGCGGGGGGGGCCCCGGCGCCGACCGGGACGGTCTGGATCACGCTGACAGGGGCGAAGGCCTGGGAAAAGGCCTGGAGCTCCTTGTACTCGGACAGGTCGATCCGCCTGCCCAGGCTGGGCCGGGGGGGCTCGCAGGTGGTCTGGTGCCTGTACATGGCCAGCAGGCTGTCCCCGAGGCCCCTCCACCTGGGGGGGGGGCGAGCGAACGTGGGGGGTCAGCGGACAGTCACACCTCTTCCCACGCAGCGCCGCGTGGGAACACAGAACACAGAAACGGAGTTTCAAGGCTGCTGAAGCTTACAACCCCGGGTCTTAAAAATAAAACAACTGCCACTGTAAATTTACCTTCGCTTCAGAGAGGAAATCTTAAAAATCTCTGGGGTGTACCCTTCATATTTCAAAATCAAACCCTCACTCTTAATACTTCAGCTGAAAAGACAAGGAAGTAGATGAGGTTACATGCTTCCTCACTCGTTCCATATGAAGAATGCTACGTTATGCAATGCTGTTGTAGTAATGTGCTATACTGGGGCAGTAGCACACACAAGATATGGACATGCTTACCAACCCAAGGCCTGACAGCAGACCTTTTTACCTCGTTCCACCTCACTTATTGCACTCTTCAGCCCTGAACCTACTCAAGAGCCCACGAGAACAGTTAATGTGACCCGTACGTGAAGTTGGAAATGGGCTGTACAAGCTGGAGGTCGGGCTGCGGATTCTGGGCACACAGGGCCTGCCGTCGCCTGCGCAGGTCCAGGCCTTCCTCCACGATGGCCCGAGCCTCGGCCTCGTCCACCTCTGCCTCGTGGATGGACATGTCGCTGTGGCGGAGACACGGACACTCAGTACAGCGCGGGACGCTGCGAGGAGCGGGGCAGCTCGTCCCGCAAACAGGCGGCCAGAAAATACGCCGCACAGCAAAAGCAAGTCTGACATCCGGTTCCAACGCATTTAACTCCGGCAACAGTGAAAAGTCACTGTGCGCTTTCAACAAACACAAAATACACCACTCTTAGACAGCGTTACTATTTTTCTTTCGCAGGCCGAACAAAACACAAATTAGAAAATCTATCTGAGAACGAAACAACAGCCCAGGTTTGATTTGCATTCGTCAAGCTTCATCGTACTTTACTAAAATCTCAATTTCACTCAAGATTGAAGTGTTGAGCAGAGATGCTAAGAGAAGAGAGGCATTGAAACCGCACTTTTGGTAACTCGAAAAAATCATTAGGAGAAAGCAACGTGACTGTGCAGACAGAAAGGACAGCGGAGTCAAGGAAAAAGAACTCGGAGTGCAGAGCTAAATCTCCACTGTCTTCATTCTGTAAGGATAACTTCTGAGACGACTCACACACCATTTCCAGAACATGCGAAAAGAGTCCTTTCTTAGACAGGGCTGCTCCTCAAAGATCCTCTCCTTCAGAACCAGGCCTTTGGTGTAGCAACAGTCTTTTTCCAGGGCCTTGCAGATGAAATACAGGCAGCCTGCCCAGGACAAGAATGCGATGTTAAGAATTCTTGCTTACAACACACTGTAGATCTCTAATCTAAAGTGCTTTACAAATAATTAACCTCGAAAACATTATACCACATTGATTACATCCTATTAACAACATATATTTCTCCATTAACATCTCAGTTAAAAGATTCAGGAATCATACATTTGACAAAATGACACAGTCCCAGAATGAATTTCAAACAAAAGAGCCATTTAAAATACAAATGTTATAAGACTTAGGAAGCCAACACATGCTTTCAACCACTAAACTGATAGAATAATGTTGAACCAAAGTGAATCACAAAACAAAGCTAATCAACTGAATACTAAAAAAATGAATTATAATAGTTTAGAATTCTTCTTTACAATTATACCTTTAAAACAGCTAAAGCGTTATACATTACAAGCAGGCTCAAGTCCAGAAAATTATTTCTGTTCAATAGCATTCCAAACGTAAAACACCTACATAATTTACATAAACAGACACAAGAACTTCAGTAATCACCTCTGAAGATGCAGAGTAACATCATCGCTATCACAGATACACTGATGTATTTTAATGGATCATTACAGCAAATCAAACCTTCCCAGGCAATACACCATATTTGTCACACACATTTGTGTCACCTGTGGATTATTTGACATGTAATGGCTACCATGACCAACAGATCATGATGGAAACACAGACGGCACCTACCCAAACTGAACTAATCTGGCCGTCACTGATAATTCACCTCTCGGCACGATTTTGAATTCCCTCTGCATTTATCGACAGGTTTTACACAAATAGAGCACCAATCCTGTTCCTTACCTTTCTGGAAGGTTCGCCTTTATTTGATACGTTTTAAGTAATTTTAGCAATGAATTTCAAGGCACATAAAAACGGTCAGTCATCATTTGTACATCTTCAATTCAGCTTTTCGGAGTCTAGAGGGAAAAGCCTGTGGCTAAGAGCTGATAAAAGGCTGCCCTGTGGCTGTGTGATGTATAATTGATCAGAGACAGTTTTCCCCCCTCTTGAACTCCTAGTGGAGTTAACGACTTGGTGACAGCAACCTTGCAGACTGCAAAAACTTCTTTCAATCCACAAACGGCTTCATTAAAACTAAGCCAAAAGAAACATTTTACATTGGACCGTACTTATTTTGGAAAAAGGAAAAAAATACCCAGATATGAACTTATCTTCACTGGCCAAGCAAAGGTTTAAAATCCATTTGTTTTTTAACCACTTTATCCAATACAAAGTCACGGAGCAGCTGGAATCTATCCTGGTAAGCGACAGGCGCAAGGCAGGACACACCCCGGATGGGACACCAGTCCATCGTAGGGCTCACGCAGATACAAACACACGCACACACTCACACTAGGGTCAATTTTCACAGAAGCCAGTTAACCTACTCGTATGTCTTTGGAAACTGGAGCACCTACAGGAAACCCACACAAAAACAGGAAAAACATACAAATTCCACGCAGATCTATTTCCAGGGCCAGAATTGTACCCAGGGCCCCTGCTCTGTGAGGCACCCCAATCAATGCTAACCACTAAACCACTGTGTCGTCCAAAGTTCAAAATGCCAGTTAATTTTTTCAGCATCGCAGGCAAGCACCACATTCTTCTGATCAGCTATACATTGGAATGTAAGAGTACCTTTCTTCCCATTACAAACCCTTTCTCAATACCATGTCTGTTTAATGCACCATCTTGTATCTTCCATAACTGCAGGCAGTTTTACAACAAAACACTGTTGGCCTATTACTAAAGAAAATCTGAGGCACATGTTACTATTCTATTCTTTAACCACTTTTTAAAGATTTTACAAAGCACTTATATCCACCTCTAACTGGCCCACAGCTCTCCACCTTGCAGGTGGGGGTACTCACAGCTGTAGTCGCTGAGTGTGTAGAGCACAGTGATGAGGTTGTCCAGGCAGGGCCAGTGGTCGGAGTTGCAGCGCAGTCCCTCCTCAAAGGCGTGTCTGGCCAGAGGGATCTTCACCAGCCTCAGCGCCACCTGGCCAATCTTGTACCACATGTTCACATCGGTGGCATCCAGGAGGACGGCCTACAGCACAACACATACAACTTGTAGCTCCGGCAAAATAGCACAAAGACACAAAATAAAAATATGCTACTCTTTCTCAGAATTATTTCTGTTCCCTTTCCTTCAGAACTAATCACAAATGATAAAATCTATTATTCTATTATTAGACTAAACCCTAACAATCTCAGGTCTGCTTTGGCCACACACTTGCACTGCAGCCTGCAACAATTTAGGGATATTTGTTTGTAGCACTATATTCAACAGAAATTAGTGAGTAATTCCACTAATAAATGAGCATGTACTAAACAAACTGAAAAAAACAATCCCCCTACTCCATTTACAGATGCCATTTAACAATAAGAGCTTCAGGAAGCTTATCTAAAGAACAATGATGTGACCTGTGCAAATTAAAAGGGGTAATTCCACTACAGAAGCTGGAAATTTATTCTCAGCTGTAGTGGCTGTATTAACTGGGAGCAGTGGTTCTGTGGCTAAGGATCTGCGCTTGTGGCTGGAAGGTTGCCGGTTCAAATCCCTCGGCCGGCAGAGGAATCCTACTCCATTGGGCCCCCGAGTAAGGCCCTTAACCCCAACTGCTCCAGGGGTGCTGTATAAATGGCTGACCCTGCGCTCTGACCCCAAGCTTCTCTCTCCCCGTCTGTATGCCTATGTGTCTCAGGGAGAGCATGCTGGGGTACGAAAAAAGACCAATTCCTAATGCAGATAAGTGATCTTATCTGATCTACCTCCAGGTAGAAGTCCATGGCTGTCTCCAGGTCATCCCGCAGTGCGGCCAGGCTAGCCAGGTTCTTGTAAGTGGAGTATTTCAGCATCAGCCCTGGGTGCTTGAGCCCCATCTTCTCAACATCTGAAGGCACCGCCTGGAAAATCCAGGGAGAGAGCCCAGGTCATGGAACTTGAAAGCATACTTTTGTGAAAAGCGGATTTTAGAAAGGTTTCCAACAGTCAACTGCCTCATTTCATTCTTTAGTGTATTTACATTTGGCGTATTTATTAATAGACAGCCCGACAGAAAGATGGACAGATGGACAGATGAAAAAATGAAAATGCAACCATTTGAAAATATTCACCAACTTCCCTAGTGCAAGACGGCAACAGTTTTATTGACGATATGATACAATAATATTTTTATCTGATTTCTCAGAAATTTGTTTTGCCTCCAAGCAGTTATGTTCAACCCACAGAGAAACAAAAATAAAACACAGAAACAGTACACATAAACAAGATATTAAAAAAAAATATAACACAAAACACATTAACCCAAACAAAAACATTACTCACCACTTCTACAGGAATCCAAGTTTACTTTCCAACAATCACCCAAAGATCCTAGAAATATTTGCTATTTATCCTGTATCCTAGTCATTTATCCTGAACACTAGTCACACAACGCAAAAGATGTATTTTGTAAGTTGTATGATGATGGGACAATTCACCATTGTGTACATTACTGTCTCACCTCTTTAAGCAGCGGGGTCTCCAGGAGCTCGTGATAGGCCTTTGCAGACTCCTCAAACCGGTCATGTTTCTGGAGGTCCAGAGCTTTGTGGTACAGAGCAAATGCCTCTGCCTCCTACTCAGAGAAAGAGCGCTCAAACTGTGCAACAGTCTGTACACTGTTCAGACCTTCAGCTTTCCACCTACCACCAAATACACAAACACCTACCAAACTGCTGCTTCCCCCATTAACACAAGAGCAAACTGGGCACATGCTTGAAGAGCAATGCCCCGAGCCCGTTACAGAAGTGACCCTCTTCTGAAAGCGTAGTGCAGTGTAAAACTCGGCCTTGGCGCAGGACTAGTTTGTTGGCGTGCGCGGCCGAGTCATCTGCTGTCTAGGAAGAGTCACTGGACAGAACGGAGCCCAGGGGCAAACGGGATCAAAGCCCAGCAGGAGCAGAGGAAGATGCGCTTATCACACATGCATATTCCATACTGATTAATATAATAAAATATAATCTCTCCGCCTGTGCTCTCAAAAATGGTTTTCCCAACTCCCACATCAGAAAGACTACAGAAAATAAAATGATCCTGCAGCTAGGATCACACCCTTGTCTCAACACCAGGCTAATTTTCTTCTAAATTCTCTCTGTTCACTGTAGGTTTAATTTCACACCACCGAGTGGCCACTCTGTCTGTCCCCTGCTCCCACCCCTCCTCTCTACCAGCTTTTGTTCTCCTGCTACTGTACATCACCTTTGCTTACTGCCCTGTCTTTCTCACACCTGAAGAAGGCTCCAGGGCCGAAACGTTGCGTTTTCTTTCTTCTCTTTTCAGCATGGAATAAACCTATTACTTGTTCCTTTGCATAATAACATATATTTTTTAAGATATAAAATGCCTGAACCCTATGAACAGTATGGCCCAGGAGAGCAGGTAACGTGGGTATTAAGCCAGAGGGAGCTCACCTGGGCCTCCTTGGTCTGCGTCTTCCTGGTTTTCTGCAGGTCATCGTGTTCGTCCCCAGTTGCCGAGGCCGCATTCAGTGCAGCGATTCGGATCTGGAAGTAAAAGCCAGGGTCAAGCCTTCAGGAGGTCACGATGAGCCTAGACCACACCTATTTCAACTCCAGGGAAAGACCGGGTGAGAGGCCACGGTGTCACGTCGGGAAGTGTTTCCCAACGAGCGCGCCATCAGACATCAACTGGTGCGCTGCCCAATTCCAAACCAGTCCCACCTGGAAATAATTCACCGACAAAACATATCGGCTTTTCCAGGCCAGCAGGCAACTGCTGCGGCCAGGACCATATCACTTTTTAGTGAATGCCGTAAAAACATGTGCCTTAGGCTGGAAAAGGTTCGCAAAAACCAACACAGGAAGGAAGCCAGTTTAATAAAACCCCTACCAGGATGCAATGTGACCAAGAAAAAGCTTAAAAATGAGTGAAACTTTGAATGTATATTCATGCTCAATATAATCCTATATTACTATAATTATATTACAAAGTGCCATTAAACTGAATATGCAATGCAATACTTTGTGGAATTTGAGACCCTAAAGAATGACTCCTTTGTTGATTCATAAAATAACATTTAATTATTCATTCAAAATCACTGCTATGTCTGAAGTGTGGGGTTCACATCAAAACAATTACAATTTGTATTAAACCCCGAAGAACAGCAGGCCAGTCTGTGTAATTATTTAATTGATTAACTTAATAAAAATACAAAAATTAAAAGAAATCAATATGGTTTTCTTCACACGTTGCTCTTCGAGAGAAAATAAAATGTACCATTGTTTTCTTCAGCACCAGATTCTTCTTACTTCATGTTGAGAAGACCTGCAATAAACAGCCTTTTTCAATGAAATGCTTTATGACAGAACTATCGCGATGTTTTTGTTTTATTCTTTGATACAAACTGCAGGCATTTGTTTATCAACACAATCGTAACATACTATACAAGCGTTAAAGTATTTTAAGCTCTCTGATGTTTCTCTGGATCATTCTAAGAAAGGGGGTTCACGAAGTATATATATATAATGGACTGTATTTATTAATACTATTAACACGTTATTCACAAAATATTACTTTCAATTACATGCAGCACCATTAATTTGATATATGGCTGCACACCAATATCCCACATGCTAAGGTAAACGTTTGAAATATAACAATTTGCCGAGTAAAACTAAAACCACATTTTGGCAACGATAGATTTCAGTATATTTCATGTATTTATAACATTTAACTCTACCATTTTCAGTTTTTTAGCTGTAATCAGGAATCAATTGGTGCGTTTCCTTCACCGTTTCGCAGCTATACAATAACTCAATCAGCTCCCCAGTGACACAAGCATGTTCTGCAACACTACAAATAATCAAGGTTGTATTCGTTTTAAATAAAAGAAACAAACCTAACTGTTGACTTTTATATAAATAGAGGTGCGCAGAACGATGCATGAAATAGCGTTAAACGTATTTTAATTCTTTACCTGCGCTCCTTTCCAAACTGCACTTTGCTTGTCTGTTGTGAAGCATCTGCCAGCAACAGCCTATCCTACTGGTTCAGTCTGGCCGGTGAAATTCAGCCAATCACAAACTCATATACTGGTAACCACGCACAGCACGACTGGGTTCTGTGGAAAGTAACTTCTGTGGACTATTGTCCATATACTCTACATCGGAAAATGTTTGATGAGAGAACAGATTAAACATCTTTTGCTCCAAGTAATTGCTATTTAAACCTGGCCCAAGACAACACAAGATTAACACTATCAATGATAGTATCATGAAGAAGACTCAAATTGAAATATTATCCTTATAATACTGTAATTCGATTTCTACTGTCAACGGTATTTTTAAGGGTAAAAGTGTCTTA